CTTTTGTTTGACTGTGCTAATGACAGCTATATTGTGCTTCCATTCTTATTCTTACACTTTGATTGTGACTTCGCGCGAATTTGGTTACGTTCTGTAACCAAGCTTGTATCCTGGCTCGATCTCGGTATCCTTTCGATACCACGAGACCGCCAGCAAATATATATCTCGATTTGGTACATTAATTGCCTTCTGATATTTGGCTCCTCGGAGATTTTATGGGTTTCTTTGGTTACGTTCGACCTTCGCCTTCTGATCTACTTGGCACGTGTTTCTTTGTAGCGGTGTTCATAGTTAATCCCAACTCGACGCCACGCTACATATATGAGAAGCAGCTGAGAGCCCAGGATGGTTTCTTGCAAAACACTAGACACTGAAGCCCTCCAATTTGAATGCAATAGTGGTGAACGGTAATTCTCAATATCACGAATGTCAAACATAAGAAATAATATCATAAAGCAACTCTGTACTACTGGGTGTAAATTTAGAGCAATTGTTTTTACTGTTTTAATTCTCAATTTTCTTATGGCTGACCGTAATAATGTTTCAAGACAACATTTGGGGTCACCGTAATTGCAGATTCCATTGAGCTTGAGAAACTACGGACATGAGTGGTCAACAAAATATATCAAATATATGTCAAATATATCTCGACTTGGTCCATTAACTGCCTTCTGATATTTGGCTTCTCGGGGATTTTATGGATTTATTTGGTTACGTTCAACCTTCGCCTTCTGATTTATTTGGCACGCGATCCTTTGTAGTAGTGTTCATAGTCAACCGCGACTCGACTCCGCGCTACATAATAACCTGTCCTGTACATGCGTTGCACTATGTTATCTCTATGCTATTTGAAGTTAACAATTATTTAAACCACCCTCAGTCTTTCTTCCCAAACCAATTATAGTGGTTATTGCTATGCTGATTTGGGTTTATGAAGTAGACTATCATATTGGTTGCTTAAAAAAGCGTTTAAATTAGATAATAAAGTCAGAGCATTAAGGTACTATTGCGCTACACTGATAAAATGATTGAACTATCACGTGGTTGTTAGTCAAGCGAGCACTCAAAATAAAAATTCTTGGGCCCATAAATAAAATTAAATTTAGTGGGCAAATATTTCTGGATCTCGATTGGAATCCGTTAATACTACAAATTATTTCAGAATAACCTAAAACAACAATACCCATATCCCAATAGTTTATCCTCAATCAACACTATAATTAGTGATTCATAGTGGTTTGTGGATATCGTCATAAGGCATTGCTGTAACTTGACAATCACGTAATATGATTGATAGAATTGAAACTATTAACAAAGTCTACGGATAAACTGTCTTCCAATTATTATTAAATAGTACTGTTTCTTCGTGGTTATCATTATCTGTAATGTATGATTTTAATATGTTTTTCCATCACTTGCTCATTTAGTAAACATCTTAAAAGCTTGTCAGTATAAATGGAGGCTTAACAACACAATAATGCATGCAAATCATCAATATAAGCAGTCGAACAAATCTCCTGCAAGTTGGGAACATCATTGTCGAATTTGCCACAACACTGACAAAGATTCATGACATTATCATAGATATGAGTTGGGAGTTTTAATTTCCTTGGTTACAACTCATATTCTTTCTGATAATCACATGAGCAGCACTCACTGTCTATCTTCTTGTGAAGATTTATTTAGCCAAAAGTAACGTACAACACCGAATCTCCTATATTTGTGGCACATAAGGTTTGTCGATTTCAACAACTTTTAATCACTCCATTTCAAATAAGTCGATTTCTGCTTCATGTCAAACTCGATAACTGCAATGAACTTGCATGCACTACCAACCGGTGAGTATCAATATAAATAATTGGCTTACTTAACATCAAAGTATTGAGTCTAGAACATGTATCTCATGTTTAGCATATTACTGTTGGTTGTCTGTTCGAAATTCACATGATCATCACTATTTCCACGCATTGAAAACATTTTTGGTAACCATTCATATGTATTCGTAGCTTTATTAAATCCTGTCACAGTTAGGCGATAATGAGGTTGAGGAAATCTCCCCGCGACTAAATAAACAGTATTAAACTTAACAAACTAACTGGAACACTAGTTGAGATTCTTCCTCTCCCCGGTTATACTTTTATTCTTTCAGTTAGCTCACTGATGCAAATGCAATTGAAAATCAACTCATACGTACAACATACCGGCATGAATGTTAACTGACTTTCAAATATCAATCGAAGATAATACCGATATCAGCATTTCTAAAATATTGGTTGTCTTCCTATTTATGCGCACAAAATATTTGAACTGTCTATATATTAAGCTCTTAACCAATGGTAATTTCTATGCGTCGTAATGTGACCTGTTGAAATATCTCTGTACTAAATCGTTTCTCATTATGATGATTCCACTTTGTTGACCACTTAGATAATCTTCACGTAGATTTTCGCTTTGTGGGTGTGCAGTGTGGCGTCGAGTCGTGGTTGACTATGATCACCACTACAAGAAGGTCGCGTACCAGATATCTGAAGGCGATTGGAGGTTGTAGCGAGATATATTTGTTGGCGATCTCGTGGTATCGAAAGAATGCCGAAATCGCGCCCAAGGAGTACAAGCGGAATAACTGAGCAAACGTGAGCGCGTGCAAGGCCACAATCAACGGAAGGAAGGGTGTCTTTAGTACATTCAAACAAACAATTACAGTAAAACAATCACGGGCACAATTGGCTATAATAATTGTTTTCATTAAAACAATCACGTTCTCTTGATAAAAGTAGGTCGCTACACGTGTTAAGCATTAGACCAAAGGTTTTGGAATTATTGCATGTATTTTCCGACTAGTTGCTGTCGCCTACTTTTTGATTTGTTTTTCGGCTTATCATTACAAGCGTTTCAGGCGTTGTCATTTTATGTAACTCATACATTTCCACATTAAATATATTACTTTATCTCCAGCCGAAATGTGTTCTTCCGAGGTACTAAACATCATACTGCTGGTTATCACCATAGAACGAGTAAGTATAGACAACGGTATGTCTTCTACGAAAGTTTTTGTAGGTTAGGTAGTCACAACATGACAAATCCACTATTTTAGTATTAGTTCTATTATTATAGTGGCAAATATAAATGTACTAATGACGGATTGGATTATAAATTTACAAGCGTCATGGTTTTTCAATAAGCTACCACTTGACAATGGAATACTAAGAGCGTTAGGAATTTCTATTGACGGTCAGAATTTTTACCTTAATTTTTTTTGTCTTGGGTTCGAAAGTGTCAAAACTATTTTTGTCAAAAAATACTAACTATTTTTTCTCTTCCTACCGCTTCACCTATGCCTTGAAGTTAGGCCGTAGATTTATTAAAACGGAAGTTTGCCAGCTTAGTTGTAAAACGCCCTCCTAATCCCCTACACCGCCCCGTGGCAATCGTCTCCGAAGTCACATTTTCTGGGACCCCCGTGTGCCTGTTGTGAGTTGCTTTGTAAGAAAAATGTTTAATGTGAACGTAAAACAAGAGACTCGATTAAAAGCTCTATTTTACCCATAACGCACACGTTTCAGAATACTGAGTAGTGGTTGCGCATTATAAATCCGTAGTTTTCTTTACGTACCGTTGGTTTGAATGAGTTGTGCAACAGTTCTGCTTATGAGTTTTGGTCAAGTTAAGGATAAATTTTGCAGACCGCGCGAGTGCAAAATTTTCATCTGTCCCTGCAAAGCTATGTTTCTATCACAGGAAGCACGTAAATCTATGTTTCTAAACTAATTGTGAAATACTATTGGGTCTTAGCCAAATCACTTGGTAGTCGAGTCACTGAGTATCAAACAATTTACCGATCCTCATCAACGTCAACCAACATGCATCAATCGATTGCACTCTATGGACTGGTCCATGCAGCTGAGGTGGCACAGTATTTCTTGTACTTACCTGCAGATCATCAACGTAGATAATCTATGTCGAATGATTGGAGGCCTACTCGAGTTAGACGTGAATGGTCTGACCAACATCTAACTTCGAAGTCACACCTCGCGTTCGGCACCTAACGTGGATTGCCCCTCCGTCGTATCAAGGTACTATGGCTGCTTTTAGTGCCGTACAACACGAAGGATGTCATTACAGAAATGTATTGGTAAAAGTAGGAACAAGGGAGAAGTTGAGACCACCATCGTATGGGCCAGTCCTTGGCGTTCAATTAACTGGTTCGAGTTGGTTATCCCTGGCTTTGACATGGACCAAAGAGCTTTTCTATATTCAGTGACCAAACTGCCGAAAGATTTGTTTAAGGCACAGTGATATTTAACTGGCCCTACATACTGTTACAGATATATTTCTGTAACAACGTTGTTTGCGTTGTACAGTCATCAAAGTATCCATAATGTTTGTATAGGAAGAAAGAGTAATCCACGTTAGGCACTCACCGTGAGGTGTGATTTCGACTTAAGCTGGTTGATCACTCCATTCCTGTCCAACAATGAAACGTCCCCTGATCTTCGGCACAGACCACCTACATTGATGATCTATTTAATCATTAGCTGTGGTAGTCTTAGGGAATTGTACGGGCTAGAATATTTCAAAATTACACTAGTGTTCTGGATAAGCTTGGAACCAGCTTATATTGCTAAACTCCTGGTCTCGACCTTAACTGGACAGTACTGTAGAAAGGTATACCTATCTAACTAATATTGAGCTACATAGAAATTGACTTGACAGATAATTCGATGGTCTGATCTGCCTAATCTAAGGGCCGGGATATTCTGTTCATTCAATACGGTCAAAGTTAACCGACAGTTTTATCAGATGGCAATATTTATGATAACAGGAAAACGGAATAATACGGACAGGTTGAGATCAGGTTTTTGTACATGGTAACTTAATCTTCTTAATTAATATGCAACTGGTCCCTAATATCAAAGCACGGGTACAAATAAATTAATTGGTTCACTTAGGGTCATCGCTCAAATTTTATCAAACTGAAAATATTGATACACTTGAAGGTTAAAGTACTAAATTCAGTATAGGCGTAACTTTTGAGTACACTATGGTTCCCCCTTCGTTCTCGGATCTTGGTAAAGATGCACGGGACTTACTCTTTAAAAAGTTTTATTTTGGACTGTATAATATTCACTGCACGACAAAGAAAAATGACATTGAATTTAAAGCCAATATTAGTGATGGACCTAAACCAAATAAGGTATATAAACATCATTGACCGTTTTATTTACATCTAATTATTTTTTCAGATGCATTTCAACCTGCAAGAAAAGTTCTCCTTTCCAAAATATGGTCTAACTATGACGAAAAACTGGTCTTCCAACAATCTAGTTGACGGAGAAATAGTATTTGAAGACAAATTAGTTGACGGGTTGAAACAAACTTTTCACATTTCTCGCGATCCTTTTCAAAAGTAGGAAACTCCCGTTAACTAATTACTTAGTTGTTTTCATGCCAATTTAGTCAATTCTTTTCGAAACAAGCATGTGAATTCTAACGTCGAAATGTTCTTCAAGTCTGCTATCCCTGATTTGTCCCCATCTTTTGTTTTTAAGTAAGTTCAAAACTGTCAAATATTCCTTAAAAACTCAAAAATACGGGTTTTATAGCTTTCTTCCTGTTTTTTAATACACTGATAACGGCTATTCTGGGTTATAGTTCACAAAATGATTAGCTTTCTAGCTGAATAATACGTTTGACGTGTTTAACTACTTTAGTCCTCTTAACCACGTTTGTACATTTGCTTCTCAGCGAGGTTTGGTGTTCCGATGTTGCTACGTATTCGACGGTCCAGACTTACAGGTACCAATATGTCGAGAATATAGTCTCAAATTACAACTAATGAGAAACATCAATCCAATTAGGTCAAAATTCTGTTACAGTAAATTATACAATGTGAACACATTTCGCAGAATTTCAATACAGTTTTACAATGGTTTATGTCAATGAAAAATGCTCACCTTAAAAACTGATGATTTTTGTTGATATGTAATCGATAAACTTAGTGCTTAATTACGCTTAGTGGACACCAAAAAGCTTCATATGTAAAACTGTTTTTACCCTGGCTATTGGTTCATCAAAACTAAAAGTGATAGTTTTGTATACAGTGTGAAGGTCGGAGTACCGAAATTATTGACGCACTGCACGAACGTATCACAATACAATAATGAGTACTTACTTGATTGATTACCTTTCATGAAAATGTTTGTTTTGGTTGTACAACCTCTAGGTTGAAAACTAGCATAGGAATAGCATGAGCATGGGGATTTAAACAAATTAGCACCTATTGGACGGCAAGAAATTAACTCAGTAATGAAGCTAGATTTCACCAGTTCCTATACCACTTTAAGCTTGGGTGTTACACGATCTCAGCTCCATAGTTTCTTGAAAATGAAAATGTCTTCGGTTGTATTTGGAGGGCTGGATATTGATGTTATCTAGGCTAGCTGATAGTTGAATAGGCCTTCATAAATACTCTGTCCGTCGATCCAGCACCCAACGTTAAACATGAGTTTTTAATTTATCTCGTAATAATCTTATAAACAATGAGTTTTATGTTAGCCCCTTTCATTTATGAAAACAGGTCATTGGTTGTTTATAGTTACTCTAGATTTCTGGCCTTCGCCACTAGCTGACAATAATGGTTTTGCCATGCCTCACGTCGCATTTTTATATCCGCTTATCAGACACGTAGGGGGGGGGCAAGATAATTCGATTCAGCATACGTAATACAGCTTGCATGATTGATGTATGTCAGATGAAGCAATCGGAATATGATACTCTCCTAGTTATTGGAATACTATAATCGAAGCTGCAATTTGTTGGTACAACAAATTTCGGATACAGAAACTAAGCAGCGTACATAAAATAGTTTATTTCCAAGTTTTTCCACTTTTGGTGAGCAGCAGCTCTCTCTATAGCGGTAAAGCAAAATAAATAGCAACAGTTATGTGATGCCACGTTTAAAAATCGGAAATGATATCACAAAGTCTTAACAAGTGTGGCACCAATTTAATTCAGCTGATGATCACTTTTCCTAATTGTTGAGTTCATTGTTACCCAAATATTCACCGGGATTACGCAAAAATATGACTTAATAATTGGCACTTTGAGTTTCTAAACTGCATATTTATCATTAAAATCGCAAGCCAATCTAAGATATACAACCATTAAAAACCTCAAAACATCAGACGACCGTTTCGTCGTGGTATGAAACGCCTCATCAGCGCCCATCCACGACCCTTCAATCAAGAATCGAACCCAGGACCCTCCGTCTCATGTGCGAATGCCTAGTCTGTAGAGCACTGAACCAGAATCCAATGGTGTACAAATCTAACTTCAATCAATTCACAATGTTTTTGAATCAGGCTTCATGAAACTCGCCATCTTGTGTAGCTGAAAAAGTTCAAAAATATCCACAATCTTTTTCCTCTTATAATCGTCGATTAGAGGTGAGAAATAAACTTGTTTTCTCATTAGTTGAAGGTTGACCCAGAAGTCATTAGGGTCTTAGTACTAACTGGGTTGAAGTATACTTGCATTGCGTTCACTAATTAAAACTAACTCTGGCGCTGACTATTGCGTTGGTACTTCAATTCATCTGACTAGTGTTTGTCATAACACACTGATGAAATAGGTACTTTTCAACTTACAGTTTAATTATATATCTTTGAATTATGGTGAAATACTACTGTCGGTAACACTTTAAGGATCTGTAGACTTAGACTACATTCTGCATCATTCCATTTATTTTAAATAGCTAATTTTTTGATGTTTCCCCAAATATATCATCATATATTCTTGATGTTGAACTCTTTTTCCACAGAAGTTGCCTCACTAATTTATGTAGAGATTAAGTTCATTTATTGTTTGATTTTTTCAAATGATTAGTATTTCAGTCTATTTGGTTGTGTTATATAGTTAATGTATATCTGTAAACCTCCAAAATTACATGGCATTATTCATTAATTCGTTCATTATGTGTGCTAAGTTTCCTATTACATTTAAACCGTGTATTTGTACTTTAAAATTGTTTTCCATAATTTTAGTTACCAAGGCTATTTGGTTGGTGCAGATGTTAAATTGGATTGTACAAATCAAATTTTACAAAAAGCTAATTTTTCTGTCGGTTACACAGTACAAGATTTTACTTTTCATGGTTTAATTACAAATTGGGGTAAACAATTTTCAGCCAGCATCTTTCAACGTATAACTGATCGACTGCATATAGCAGGTTCAGTAAGTATAATTTTAAAATTCCTATTTTTTTCAATGATATAAGTTGCCTATTTTTCCCTTAACGTTTTTATTATTCTGTTTGACAGTTTTTCAATCTTTACTTTTTAATCAAGGTTCTAGTCTTTGCTTTGTGTTTGAATTCCCTCGGTATTGTTAAGGACTGAATGGATTGCCTCGGTATTGTCATTCAGTCACAATTTCTTTTAGTAAAATTATTTAGTGTCTAGTAGTATAAACCAGGATGAATGTTTCGCCTTATTTGAGACTCGCCATTTGGATGTACCTGGATCCTATTATTGATGTTCACTCTGAGACTGACCAATTGTAAGCACCAACTTCAGTGACAAGATTTAAAAACTAAAAAGTAAAACGCGTACCTGTCTCACGAGCCAGTATCTATCTGGATTAAATAGCTCAGTAGATAAGGTGATAGGCGTACTGTGTTTGAGTCTTGATGTAAATGTCAACACTGGTATTCACTTACACCCAGCTGACGAGTTTCACTACTAACCACTAATCAACTTTGCCAAAGTATAATCTTGTCTTTAGTTTTCATCTGTTTTATATTGTATTTCAAAATTTCGGCTTCATTGAAGTAACGGGTAATACACAGTTATTAAATTATTTTGACTAGGTTCTAGGTTCATATCGCCCAAATATTTTTGTTAGAACATGTGCTACATGTGCCTAACTACTGTTTACCTAGACGGGTGATTTACAGATGTAGGTTGGAAGAAAACTTGGGGTAACCAAACCGAGAAGTAGCATCAGTCCATGAAGTCATTGACTATTAACTTGAACTGCTTATGTAAATGCAGACTATCTGATTGGTGTCCAGGAGACAATCTCAATCAGTTATTAAAGACATTGGCTGATGCTCTCTCAGAATCAGTCACACTGGTGTAGGTAAATTCTTTTTTATTATGCACTTGATCTTGAATTCCAATAATCCTACATACATATTTTTCCTTTCTGTATTTTTGAATCTCATTCTCAATTTTCAATCTTTCTCATCAGCATTTTCACTGCATTATTTCAATCCCTTTAGTATTCAACCTGTTAATTTGATCTTGTTGTTTTGGAGTAGTTTAGCAACTCGGTCCAACGTACATGTATACTAGGCTCTACGCTGTTGATGATTAACTGAGTTTTGCTTATTTATTAAGTATTAAAATTGATACTTCATATAGAAAACATACTTTGTACTATTATAATTACTAAGATATAGTCAATAAGATTGTGATAACCTAATTTTATACCAATTCTGTTGTGTCTTTATGGCCCGCTAGCTATCACGTAATTTACTCGCCAATCAAAATACGACTTATTCACTTTCGTATTGTACTAAACCAATGACGTTCGACCGATATGATTAGCCTAGCGTCCTTATTGGTCCTATGTTCGTCTAACCCGTCCAGCTGAGTCTAGAATGCCAACAACAGCCTCCACTATGCGGATCACATATTTCAGGCATACTGGGTTTATATACTAAACAAACAGACCGCAACGCACCATAAAATAAGAAATAAAATTCATGCACAATATAGCCAAAATGTGTCTGTGAACGTGGGAGACTGTAATTAATAAACTGAGTAAAATTTAAGAACAGTAATTCGTATAATAATAAATTATAGGTCAAAATAAAGCTTATAACAAGGGGAATATAGATATACATAATCTAATTACTGAATAGTTATACCATAAGAATATACAGATAATATTAGTTTATTAATAGGTTTCAAAAGTTACTCGTAATGTAATCTTCGTTAGGATATAACAAATTCCATGGTGTGAGTACGTGTTTATGTTTATTGTGGAGACCTACCTGAATATCTGGGTTACCTGTTCCTACAATTTAGGTATTTCAACAAACTCTGTGCTTTTTGCGCGATTATGAAAGTTTACTACCTTTTGTTATACAATTTACAAAATAGTACAATCAAAAACATCATGGTGGCTGGTAATATGTCTTGAGTAAATAGACATGATTTAGATGTCAGTTCCTGAACTGCTATCATCTAACTGGTAGTTACTCATTATTTATCGTTGAGATCAATCAATCAATCAATAAGGAAAGGAAACTTATTAAAATACTTGGTTCTGACAATTCTATATTATATCAAGAAGATGATATTGAATAAAGGCGTTAATGAGAATAATAACAACACTAACTTGAATGGTACAGAGCAACATTGACTAATCCATTATTTAAGATAATATTTTACAAATGCAATACATTGGAAATTGTGACGACGGACCACGGGTGAACTCGAGGAAGCTGTAGGAGGCTCGGAAGGAGCCGAAGATATTCCATCCAACCACCTTTCGGAAGAGTATTCTAGAATTCCTACATGTAGCTTCCCGATTGGACAATGCTAATAACCCCCTGTATGCGGATTGGAGGACTGTAATGATGATTTCGTTCTTACTAAAAACTATAAATACCTGACGATTTTGTATTACAATTGACACTTTCTGGGAATAATATTCCTTTTATTAGTTTTCTGTCTTCTCATTGCGACTTGGAAGGGTTCTGGCGTTTTAGTGCTCATGTTATACGCGGTATATCAAGAACAACCTTCTAGATATAACAGAAATCATTAAAAAAAACAGTTAGAACAATGAACATTTCGATTAATAAAACAAATAAAGTAGGATTCAATCAATCATCAGATGCATCTAGTTTTTTTCCTTTTAAAGAGACAAATGATAAATACAATAGGATCATCACTAGTTTATATTTGTAAGCTTTAGTTGATGATGTCTCAAGTTACTGAGTTGTAAAATATATGAATCTTTATTTCATATTCTGTATTTTCTTCACATTGATTGTTATGATTTATGGTTGATAAATTCCCTGTATCTGCTAAACCAGTTTAAATACCGAAGGTTCAATTTAATCCTCTTACTTTCATGGAAACATTCCTATTAGGTGAAAATAGTGAGTAGGGATACTATGCAAGAAATTTAAAATGTACGTCCATATTAGATGATTTGGTGAGAAATAACTGTCTATTCACGTATTACGTATGCCTGAACACCGATTACCACGACGTGCAATGCTAACCGGTGTAGGGGTTGGTTGGAAGAAAGTTAGGGGCGGCCAAACCAAAACGTGGCATCAGTGCTTGAAGTCACTAACTTCTAGTCTGAGCTATGTTGGTAGATGCAGACTACTTGGTTGGGGTCCGCGTGACTATCGTAACCAATGGTTGGAGACTCTTGGTGACATGGCTCAGAATCGATCACAATGGCGTCGGTGTATACACTCCCTGTCTTCCCTTAAACTAAGAGATTAAAATCGCTTCATATCTTTCTTTCTACGAACTAATTCTTCCTTCCTATACTATATCCTTATTGCAACCTTTGACCTAACCACTCCTATGAATCCAGTGTTCATCTTGTTGTGCTAATGAGGTATGGCAACCTGGACCGATGCACATATGTGCCTGGTCCTACGTTGTAGCTGACTGACTGACTGAGTCATACATTTCAACGAATATATATATATATTCAATTTGGAATTCAGGATATGCGTTTGATTCTGGCTTAGTTTGGTTATTATAGATCTATAAATTAGTATTTTAAGGATTCAGTTTTCTTATAGGTAATGACAAACTTAATGAAGTGGTTATTGAAACTTGCAAGAAGTTGAAATTGCAATTTCTATATGTCTAAAATCGTAATTTTACTAAACAAAATCAACCTCACATAAGTTGGTAATATTATTGTTTAATCACAAATGTGAATCCTAAGTCAGACAGATATATTAACATAAAGCCTGAGACAGATGTGCAGCTTAGAATAATAGTTAATGACTTCATGAACTGATGCCATATCTTGGTTTGGCTACCCCTAGCTTTCTTCTAACTTACTTCTCCATTAGCAAGTATCACTCTTCAGTGTACATGTTGGTTAGACACCTCAGTAAATGTACATTCACTACCTCATCAAGCGATTTTCCACTTATATCAAGCATCATATGCTTAACTTAAGTTCGTGGTACAAATTATTTATTTATTTCACGTAATTATTTCGCTCTGTAAACAGTTTATCAATGATAACTATGAACTATTAAATATCTTTATGATATTTTGAATGATTTTAAAGATTGAAATGAATTGTAATTTCATGTCATTTTTCCTAGATTATTACTGAATTAGTAGTTCATTATCAGTGGGAAAGTAACTTTCTAATCGTATATAAAAAGAACCTCTTTAAGGATATAACACACAGTCAGTCAACAAAGTAGAATTTCGTACATACGTACATCAGTTGGAGTTATCATACCACATTAGCACAGAGATACAATTGTCAATTCAGATTTCATAGTGGTAGAGGTAATAAGAGTATAAGTATAACACACAATTCTCAGAGAGTAGGACAGACCATCATTAGAACTAACATGTATGTTACTATTACCACTGTTTATTAAGTGAGGAACCTTTGAAATTGAGAATTCCATTTCAAACTCTTAACATCTCACCTTACTCCACAAATGTTAGTAGTCGTTAATTCTATTTAGAAATAATATCTTTTAAATTATTTAACTCTCTAAATCTTTAATTAATCATAGATTACATGGAAACGTGTTCCAGATGAAACTGTTTGGGCTGTTGGATCACAATATATATTAGATAATGAGAAAAAGCATTCTGTGAAATTGAGACTAGATCATTTAAATCAGATCAGTTTGGCTTTTACAACATATTTATCAAAAAGTGAGTTAAAACATATTTATATAATACTATCTTAATTCGATTAAAAGAAATGATATGTTTACTGATAAAATGTTTTACTAATCTTTAGAGTAATGAGGCACTAATGGTTTACAATAGTAAACTCGAACTCCACTCAATCTACTTGTGTTTCTGCAACCGGATAGTAGCATTAGCCATCGCACTTAAAGTGTGGCTCATACTTACGTACTTGACGAATGAGTTTATAGGAAGATAGTTTACATTATCGTGGAACTTATGTTTATCGTTATTTTATGATAATACGACACATGAGGACCTCTTCATAGTACACTATAAACATTCACATATAAGTTATTTTCAAAATGATTAACTTGATTTGAGGACTCTCAACGGTGAATAAAAGAACTTTCTTTTTTAAATGGTTGATTCTAGTTTAACCTTTAAAAAGAGTAGATTATGACTATATATTTACTGCTCTCTCCTTTATCTAAAATGTTTCCTGTCTTCATAATATAATTTTTATTTATTCATTTATTTTAACACATAGATATTGGTACAAGAAGGCACCAAATAGATATGCGCCACACAGATCTCATTTGGTATGTGTGAGGGCTGTGATACTGCCTGGGTTCCCAAATCGAAGCAGGTGGTTTTCTTAGGGGGCCACTCCCTGAGCCTTCGACTTGAAGGTCTGATCCACAAGGCAGTGGAGCAACGTCAGTCAGTCGGTAACAACGTAGAACTTCGTACGTACGTACATCAGGTCGAGTTGTCACACCACATTAGCACAGAGATGCAGTGGTCGATTCAAATCCCGTAGTGCTAGATGTAGTAAAATTATAAGCTGTAATCAGAAAAATTAGGGTTTGAAGATGTTATTCAAGGAGTATAATCCAGTGAAATAAATTTGGAAAGAGAAAAAAGAAAGGGACATGAAGAATTCAGAAGATTAGAATTTGAGAGAACACAAAGAGTGGATGCACCTGCACCATTGCAAACGATTTTGAGCCATGTCATTCAGGGTCTCCAACCATCGGTTGCTATCATCTCGCGAATCCCAACCAGTTAGTCTACACCTGTCAACATGACTCAGTCTACTTGTCAGTGACTTCATGGACTTGCGCCATGTTTTGGTCTGGCCACCCCTAGCTTTCTTCCAATCTACTCCTATACAACAAAACATCGCACATCGAGGCAGTCGGTGGTTGGGCATACGTAACACGTGTCTCAGCCATCTCAACTGATCAAGTTTCACCACATCATCAATTGATTTGCCATCCTTACCTAGTACCCGTTTCCTAACAACTGCATTACTTACTCGATGATCCCAGGATATACGAGCAATATTTCGAAGACACCTATGATCAAATACTAGTAACCTACGAATATCCTCTACTCTTACCGGCCATGTTTCACCGCCATAAAGTAGGGCGGAACGAACTGCTGCGCAGTAAACCCGTCCTTTGGTTGATAGACGGATATCTCGCCTACGCCAGAAATGACGCAAGTTGGCAAAAGCTAGTCGAGCCTTCTATATCCGTGCTGAGATTTCGTCACACACCAAACCACAAGGGCTGATGAGACTTCCAAGATAAGTGAAGCGGTCGACGCACTCAACTACTTCACTCCCTATCACTAGTTCGGGTGTCGATGTAACTCAATCCTGAAGCAACATTTTGCATTTCGAGGGAGAGAATCGCATCCCGAACATGCTTGCATTGTTGCTTAGAGTGGTCAGAAGACTCTGCATTTTGTCAGCGTCTTCACCAAATAAAACTATGTCATCTGCATATTCTAAGTCAACAAGTGAACCTCCTGGTAGAAGTTCAACCCCTGTAAATTTAGATGAGGAGAGTGTTATCTCTAAAAGTACGTCAATGACAAAGTTGAACAAGAATGGGGAGAGTGGACAGCCCTGACGAACACCACTTGAGGTGATCAATTCTGATGACAGTTCGCCATAAGCTCTCACTCTACCAGTTGTGTTCGAGTAGAGAGCCTTTATAAGGTTAATGTACTTCTTTGGTACTCTTTTCAGTGACAAACACTGCTATAGAACCTTACGATCAACAGAGTCAAATGCCGCCTTAAAGTCGAGCAACGTCAAGAGATGCAGTCCCAGGGTAACCGGCGACCAATGATTGGTTCATACTCCATTTGTTTCTTCAGGATACTGGAGCCCATGTGTATTATTGGTTTGGAATGAGGGTTTTCCAACTCCCCTAAGTGGACTTTCCATGTCCATCAACCCGGTTAAAGCGCCGGACGTTCGCTGTTCGGCCTATCAATCGCATAAACAACACGTGTGGTGCGAGAAGGCAGTGAGTAAGACTTCCCTGACAGAGGCTATATACGCATGGCCATGTGAGATTATTTCGAGAGGGAGAGCGGACTCTCTCCACTCTCGGCCGTAGCAGGGCATTTGGGGTCCATATAATTATTCCTGAATTAGTAGTAAGCAAGCGTTAAACAGAACATTAGTGCTTTAATTAGAAAGTACGCTTTTCAACTAGACTAGAAATAACTATATTGTTTGCCAGTGAAGGCTTTATCATGTTTGACAAACTTCAATCACTCATCAAGTATTGAGGCATCAAAGTTAATTGTTTGTTATTAATATCTTGCTTAGAAATAAATCTAATTTTACAACTTTAATGTTGGTATTGAGATTCAGCACGGATTTATTTCTTCATCTTCGAAATATTAGTTCATTCCAACACACTGATTAGAGTCGCTTAACTTGTATTCATTTAGGATATTGTTTTTCTTGTCTCATTCAAGTTTGTTTACAGCAGTTAAATTATTTTAATAGCTCCTCTCTCTCTCTCACACACAAAGTATAACACACAAGTGACTACATAATTTCTTACTTGTAATACATTTATATATGATTCCTCATTTGAAGATAATATTTGGTTGTTATTCCGTCTTCAAATGCCATGGTACGGCCAAGGGTAGGGAGAGTCAGTTCTCCCTCACTAAATGCTCTCACACGACCACGTGTATACAGCCACTGTCGGGGAAGTCCTACTGCCTTTTTGTGGCGTGGGTGTTGTCTACGAAATTGAGAAGATGAAAACTGAATGTCTGGTGCTTTAACCGGGTTGATAGACACGACGGGTCCACCTAGTGGAGTTGGAAAACCCTGATTCCAAACCAATTTTGCTCATGAACTCCAAGATCCTGAGAGAAAAAAGTGTATGAACCTGTTGTTGGTCACTGGTTTCCATGGGACTACATCTCCTAATGTTGCTGCACTGCCTTACAGATTATATCTCTAGATCAAAGGCTCAGGGAGTGGCTCCCTAAGAAAACGACTTGCTTCACTTTAGGTGCCTGGACAGTTTCCAGCCCTCATAAAAATTTTGTGTGACATACGTTTTGGTGCCTCTTTGTAACTATGTTTATGTGCTTAAATAAGTAAATAAAAGTGGCCTAATGGTTTTAGTACTCATTTTTCAACTAACACCTTAGATTAGTACCTTGCTCTGTCTAATTTAATGTAGACAGGCGGTTAACATCTCTAAACATCACACAAAAGGTGTAACTCGGAGCCATGTATAGGGTTATGCTTGAATATCCATCTAAAAAATTTCCATCGAATATTCTAATATTTTGTGATCGATAATTGGACCTGATCGTTACACAGTGTTTCGATTTTTGTTTCATAAGTAGTCAATCCTTTTCAAACATCTCATCGCTTATTGTATAGTGCATCAATTAGAGATTAGGTTGCCAAGTTATTTATTCCATACGTTACACATTTCACTACTAGATCGGCAACTGATAAGTGGTCACTCTAACTCTGACTATAACTAATAAATTTCTATCTTTTTGTAAGGTAGTGGGGCTTTAGCATTTAAAGCGATCTAACTTCAGCCACTTAGTCTCAGGTTCGAACCCTATTTCATTTACTTCAGCTTGAGCAACCGAATGGTATCGCTAGCGCTCGAAATTAGAATGGAGCTCAAAATCAAATATACAAACGTATATCTGCTTGATGAGTGAATAATGGTAAAAATAACTGTCAACTTTTGAATAGATTGTGTAATAAAACTATAATTTATGAACAACCTTTGAGCAACTCTGAAGTGATCTTGAGAATATTCACCTCCATACTACGGCTAAATGAGAGTTATAAACCAGTTTGAAGAATTAAGATTAATATTTGCAGTTGATAATTAGGGTTAAAAATTAGATTTCGGCGTTTTCATCACGAACTGACATTAGCTATGATATCAAAACTTTATTTAGCCAAGTGATTGAATTGATTTCGCGCCAAAATTCAAAACTTTTTATCGTAAATCTGATTGGTTCATTCATAAGTTGTATACATATATAAAGTATGTTCGTTTACATCTCCTTTTTTCTTTCTATATTCTACTATAGGTCTTCAATTGACATTGAGTGGAGTTTTCAATGGTTCAGATTTGACAAAAATGGGTATTGGTTTAGAATTGAATGCTTAAAACATTTATGAATATACTAATTTTTCTATGAATTAAAATAAAACAATATGACTATGTATCAATTATAGATGTAAAACAATTATGAATGAATTAGTTCACTTTCTCTTTGCCCCGGTTTCATCGTTACAATCATTCTTTCATCAAATACAAAAGTATTAGTTATTTAGATTGTTCATGTTGAAAATTTATTCTGTCATTTCATTCATGGTTATGTTGCTTCTTTATTGTTCAACTGTTTTCTTTCCACCACTACCACTTCCAAACTATTTAGTCTATATACTGCCATTACATTATCCAAGTGTATATGACCTTTTGTAGGTGTGTTTTGCCTCTGCTTTTTTTTTCTAAAGATTTTTATTTATTGATGAGATTACATATTAAGTTGAATATCTTGAAAGAATCTGTATTTCATCATAAATATAGATAGTTACATGTAAATGTACTTTTGTAGATTAAATGGCCCCCAAATACCCTGGTACGACCGAGAGTGGGGAGAGTCCGCTCTCCCTCTTGAAATGCTCTCACATGGCCACGCGCATATAGCCTCTACCAGAGAAGTCTTACTCAGTGCCTTCTCGTGGTGGGGGTGTTGTTTACAAAATTGGGAGGACGAAAAGCGAATGTCCGGCGCTTTAATCGGATTCCAAACCAATGGTGCACATGGGCTCCAGTATCCTGAAGGAACAAATGGAGTATGGACCAATCGTCGGTCACCGGCTTCCTTGGGACTTCATCTCCTTACGATGCTCCACTGCCTTGTGGATCAGACCTTCAGGTCGAAGGCTCGGGGAGTGACCCCCTAAGAAAACCACCTGCTTCGGTTTAGGCATCCGGGCAGTATCACAGCCCTCACACATACCAAATGAGATCTGCGTGGCGCATATGTATCGAGTGCCTCCTTGTACCAATATCTATGTGTTGATATAAATAAATAGATTAAATGTAAACTCACACTAATCTATAATAGGATATTGAGTTTGAGTCTCATTATGAACATAAATAATAAGATGGAGGTATATTCAATTGTTAATGAGTCCGAAATTGAACATTGTCCATCTTATAATTTCCACTACTGACAATGATCGATTTGTAAGTTGAAGTGATAATAAAATATCCTTTCAATAGTGAAGGAATGAGAGTTGTTGCTTAAGTCATCCAGTTTTCAACCGTAAAGTGACAAGTTTAAACGTTAATCCACCTACTTTGATTTTAACAATCGAATAGTATCATACAGCATAACTAACCCGAATACATAAATATATTAGACATTAATACCATTGGACACTGGCTCAGTGGTCTAGGGGTTAAATGTTCGTACATGAAACTGGAGGTCTTAGGTTTTATTGCCGCGTTTGGGATCGTTGATGCGTCCTACTGACGAGTCACTTGCTAGGTTTTTGATCATGGTCTAACATTGATCGGTTCATTATCTCAATGAAACTCAACAATCTTCATGACCCTATTCTGATACATAAACATATATTTGATAAATGAGTTATATCTGTTTAAGAAACCCAAAGAGATTGATTAAAATGAGTATAAAAAGTATGACATTGGAAATTCTTATCATTAGTTATGAAAGTTGTTGGGAGATCCAGAGAACTCGGAAAAAAGCTGGAAAAGGCTTTGAAAACACTGAGAAACATCTTATCCAATCAGCATTGATTAGAAGTTTTGCTAGAAACCTCTAAAAAGTGAAAAGTCATATGTCGAGTTTCTGATTGGATGATTACCTACACTGCTACTATATTTAGTGGCGTCCCAGAATTTTCTGGAAACCCAAAGCCATCTAAAATACTGTAAAAACCCTAGGTTTTCTGTACAAAATCGAACCTTTGGAGTAAAGCGTTTTTTTCCGTATTTCGCACATTTTCTCTCATGTTCAAGTCGCTGTGTTCATTTAGCCTGGCGGTTAATAGGAAGAGCTTAGGAACAGAATCTAGCGTTCAATTAGAAGACTTATCAAAAATGTAGAAGACTTTTTCGTCAATTAAATATGTAAGAAGGACATTTTCTAGTTATTCAGTTCAAATACTGTAGTATACATAATTAACTTCAGTTAATTTATAATAACTAGAATATAAAAGTGGTACTTATTTTCTGTTGTTGATTGACATCATTGTGGAACGATTTCAGCTTACAAATTAGTTGAAACTAGTATGAATACCGAAAAATAATATAAAACTTTGAGAAATGGCTTCTCTTCATCGAAAGGAGTGGTTCGACTTTCTTCTCTGCTACCGTACATTCTTACTACCCTATAGTGAGTTAAATTGTTCTCATATCATACAAGGTTGTAATTGTCTAGATTAAATTAATTGATGATCAGGCTACTGATTATTTATATAAGTAGTAAGATGCGTGGAACAAAGTTTTCAGTTTAAGTGTTGGCGTGATATCGGTTTCGATTTTATAATCGTTTTACAGGCGGAAAAATGAAATGAAACTTAATAAGTGACAGTTGGAACATTTAAGACTAATTTGATTTGTTGAAACAATTACAGTGTGTATAAGCCCCCAACTGCCCTAGTACGGCCGACAGTGGGGAGAGTCAGCTCTCACATGGCCACGCGTATACAGCCACTGCCAGGGTAGTCCTACTCACTGACTTCCGGTACCAGGAGTATTGTTTACGAAACTGAGAGGACGAAAAGGGAAGATCCAACGCTTTAACTGGGTTGGTGGATATGTGGGATCCACCTAGAGGAGTTCGAAACCAATGGTGTACATGGGCTCCAGGATCCGAATGGAACAAATAGCTTATGAACCAATTATTGGTCACCAGCTTCCATGGGACTGCATCTCCTTAGGTTTCTCCATTGCCTTGTGGATTAGACCTTAAGGTCGAATGCTTGAGGTGCGGCCTCCCTAAGTAGATCACCTGTTTCGGTTTGGGCACCCGGGCAATATCACAGCCCTCACAAATCGAATGATTTACGTGGCGCATATCTATTTGATGCCTTCTTGTACTAATGTTTATGTGTTTAAACAAATGAATAACAGTGTGTATAAATTAAAATTTAAGTCTGTCATAAGACGTAGGGATTTATGCAACAGTTCATGGTTCAACTCAAAGTCTCCAGCTATTGATCACTATAATTTCGTGAACCTTAGCCAGGTAGTCTGCACCTACCTACATAGCTTAGCATAACTGTCAATGTTGTAATGTTACACCTTAGCCTAACCATTTTCACACCAGCAAACATCGCCGCAGAATAGGCAGTGGTTGGACGTATACAATACAAGACCCAATCGCTTCAGTCGATGAAAAGTCACTACCTCATCAATCGATTCATTATTTTTAAACAGTATGTTGAGTTTGACTTCAGTATGGCTCATTCAGTAGTCTCAACATATTGCTTATTCATCATTGTATGGATACAAAAAATCATCGTATAGTTAATTCTTCTTATTAAGTTATTATTTTTGTTTAAAAGACTGATAATTAAAAGAGATCTGAATTATCAGGTTTTTTTATACTTTCTTTACTTACGCCTGTTATCTCTTATGAAAGAGTATAGACCACCCAACTTTGTCCTGGGCATTCCTTTCCAATTGTTTCCACTTGCTATTCACTCATTTGATATCTGTCTCCAATTCCAAATGCAATGTGTTCTTTGGTCTTCCTCTTCTCCTTTCGTTTCATAGATTCCAAGTAAGCGCTTGCCTCGTGATACAGTTTGACTAATTCCGCAATGTATGTCCTATCCACTTCCAACGTCTTTTTCTCATTTCCTCTTCAGATGGAATCTGTTTTGTTCTCTCTCATAGTAGGCTGTTGCTGATAGTTTCCGTCCAACGGGCATTAAGTATCTTGTATGGACAATTATTTATAAATACTTGTACCTTTTTGATGATCGTTGTATTAGTTCTCCAAATTTAAGCTCCGTAAAGTTGGACGGTGTTGATGTTCGTATTGAAAATTCTTACTTTGATATCGGTTGACAGACAGTTGTTTTGAGTTCCACACATTCTTCAACTTGCTTTCACATTTGCATACGATCGTCCTTGTTCATCGATGATAAGTGAAAGATTCCAGAGTTTCTCCATTGAAAAAGATTGGGTTGGTTTTCTCTGTGTTGTATTTGAGGATCTTGCTTTTTCCTTTGTGTATATTGAGACCTACTGATGCACAGGCTGCTGTCACACTACTTGTTTTTATTCGCATTTATTAATGTGTATGGGATAGAAGGGCCAGGTCATCTGCGAAGTCCAAATCTTCTAACTGATTCCAAGCTGTCCATTGAGGGTTTTTGGGTAACTTGTAAATACTTAATTACAGAAATGAAATCCCATGAATAATATAACTTATCATTGAAATTTCATGCTAGAAAAATACCTCTTCCTGATCACAGCGAACCTTTCTAAATGATTTACAACAGTATGGCAAATTTGTTGTTAGAAATTTCCTCTTTTGTGATAATTTCGTTTTAAATGTTATTTTGTAACATTAGGAGGTTATAGGCAAAGATGGATATTGTCTAGAAGTGGAATCCAGGACGCGCGTATCGTCCTATTTGGAACTCGTCAGCTGGATATAACTGCATTTCAGAGGTGATTTTCACTCCTAGACTCGAATCCAGTACCGTTCGCTTCAAACACCAACCAGCTGTCCACTTAGCTACTAAGTCCTAAATGGATAAACTCGATAGCGTCAATTGCACACTCATCTTTTACATCTGCTCTTTACTCGACACCATAATGTGTTTGACAACAAGAAAGTATGGTTGAAGTGATTTAGAAGATATCACTACCAAAACAGGAATATATTATCTTCGATAAACCGTATTCGTTTGACCTGAACACAACATGTGCTCCCTTCGTCCTCTCAAAACTGTTCACATTGAGAACTGTTACTTGACGATTCAGTCAGCAATATTTGTTTAAATATCTCATACAATCATAACATCTATTTGAGTTCTAATCTAATATGCGTTTTCCCATAAGAAATATTTTTCTAAAAGTCACAATAATGATGATAATACTAGTTACAAATTTCTTCTGTACACATAATTGGAGTGAAATGTACGAATTCCTACGACTTCAGCTATATAAAGGAGACGGGAACGAACTCCGTTGAAAAATGATGGAGGTAAACGATGGATAGCTCGAAATGATTTCGATTTATCTACATCATGACCACTATCAATCAACGGGGATGTGGCTAGCGATACTCTGAAAGATAGGTTAACAAAAGTAATTAGCAGGACATTTTAAGCAGCCAATTTTGTGTTGACTTTCTCGAGTCGACTAGCGATGTCTACTCAAACGAAGGAAAAGTTACCTGAGTTGGCCTCCTCTATGTGTATTTATCCTGGAGAGATAGCTTTATCGGGCATAATACCAGGCAACTTAACCAACGGATGAGTGAACATCTACCAGCTTGGTTTGATAAGGGCCAGATAAAAACAATACGCAGTTCTAACTTGGCACAT